AGGACACAGCTTAAAATCTGAGTGATCTAACAGAAGAAACTTTCCTGGTATATCTTCGCATACCTTCATAGTTACCTATGACTAAATTCATGGTCATCATTTGGGGGAAAAGTGATCTCACCAGTCTGAGTTTATGATTTGCTTCTCTTCTATTTCCTCACGGGGACTTGCACAATTTAGAAACATACTGAGTGACAGCACCTACATGAAACTATAAGCTCTTTAACCTGTGCTAGGTAAAAGAAAATCAAATAGAGAAGTAAAAAGAAAAGAAAAAAAACCCCACACCATTAACATTTACAGTGCCAACAGGAAGAGTACATACACACACATTTTTTATATATATATATATATATATATATAATCGTGCCAAGCTTAGGAACCTATTGTAGCAACTTAGTTATTTAGCTACTCCTCCTAGCTTCTCTCCAAGTCAGAGGAGAAACATATGCTTCTCCATAAGGCACACAGCCCCAGCTCAGTTGGGCTAAACTGCCCCTGGAAGTGTTTCTCTCTTACCATTACCTATGTGGAACTAGGAAGAACAGGTATTAAAACCAAGCTGAGCTGGGTGGCACAAAGTCCTGCAATAACACAGTTTCAGAAACACCTCTTGGGCATCTCTTTGTATTGTGAGGAGGTAGGAATACAAGCTGCTGTTGCATCGTTAGTGAGATGAAGACAATGAGACAACTATATTTGGCCAGCCAAATAGCTTTCTAGATTCCACTGACTGCCAATCTTAAACACTCATCTCACACTCCGTTGACACCTAAAAATAGATGTCAAAAGTTGACTCTTCAAACTGACCACCTACAGTGTTCCAGTAAGAACAGGTGACAGATACACAACAGACTGGTTATATGGCCTCCAAAAAAAAAATCTAAAGAGCAGGCAAAACATAGAAGAGATGACATTACTGTGTTTCTGTAATCTGGTTACTCAGTAGGTAATGACTGATACCTGGATACAAACAGCAGAGCTTGTGGCTGCTTGTACCAGTGTTTAAGGACACATCCTCCTAACTTCACCAAAATAAAGTCCATAGATGACAAGGTTATTTGAAAAAAAACATATAGCCCAAAAGGTGAACACGTTATCTGAAACTGTATAATCCTAAAACCAGGAGAGAATAGATAGGAAGGATAACAGAATACAGATATAAAAATATGATACATATAGCAGAAGAACCTACATAATAGAATTTATGCTAGCCTACATCTGATTTCCGGTGTCATAGGCTCTAAATAATGTCATTCCATCTCATGGTAAGCAGGTCAATAGTGCTATTTTAGGGTCCTTGGTAGATATCATAACATTAGATGATTCCCACACACAGAAAAGTATACAGGAAATCAGAGAACTGACAACACAAAAGTAGAAATTATAAACCCTAGAAAAAGTACTTATGCACATTTAAGCGGCTATGTATTTTTGTTACAAATGTGCCACACTGGAGTTTAAATCAGCCCAGGAAAGAAGAAGAAAAAGTTTTCCTAGTATTTGTTGGGTGAGCAGACACTTAGCTTTGATAGAAAACATTCAGATTCAAGCATTTAGTCTCAACTGAAATGTTTGCAAATGACTGTTGTAACCATGACACAGTCACTGGCCATGAGGGATGTTTCTCTTTGGCCAGGAATTCTGCATCTGTCAAAACTGCAAGTGTAGATTCATAGAGGTTTTATTGGGTAAGTTTGGCATTTGCTGTTAACAACAAAGAAACAGTATTCCCTTCCCTCATGACCGCCAATCAAAATGCTGAAAAATTCTTGGCCAAGTGTTTTCAAAGTCATATTATTTAATATTTCACAAAAAATACATGGTAACTTTTCACTCTGGGATAATATCTTGCCCTGTCTCAGATTAGACTGTAATAGCACCATGTTAAAATTTAGATTTTGGAATTTCTCTTCTGGTACACAATGGAGTAAGATGGCTCTGATAGTTGTTATTCCTTTTTCAGGTACTGTGGAACAAATTTTATTTCAGAATTGGTAACAGGTTAGCGTAAAAGGCAAATCTGGAGGAGTAAACTTTAGAAAAAATAGGTGAGGGAAGACTATATTTAATTTTTAAAGCTTTCAGAGAACAATTTCAAGCAAAAGTGAGTGAGAAAGTATTTCAGAACAGAGACTGGAAGTACCAGAAAATTAATTACTGTTAAATATTTTTTAGTAAAGTCAATTGAAGTGAGTAAGGATGTTACACATACTCTCTCTCTTCCCTGTTAGTCAGGTTCATCATCTAATCCATACAATGATGTCACAAAATCAACTGTGCCAGGCAATTATATGTAAATTATCTTTGAAATAAAGTTGGAAATAATTTTATTCTTTCAAATAACCTATACTGCTAAATAATGGAGAAGAGTCAGGAACATGTATGTCTCAATTTCCTACTACTGAAAAAACAGCTGCTTGGACATCTTAAAAATAAACAAACATCTTTGTAGTATTGATGGGAATAGAAGAGACAAGAGTGCCTTGCCTGCTGTTCATGTCCCTGTTTTAGACAAAAATAACACTGAGAAAATATGGATACTGCCCATGCTATACATTCTTAGGTATAACTTCAGGCACTGCATATTTTTCATATTATTCACAGCAAAACTCCTGCATCTGACGAAAAACAACTTAGGTTATAGGCTAAGTGAGCATGAAGGTGGTAATAAAAACAAATTTGCTATGTATTCCATGCCAAAGTTATTAACTTTGCTTCATTTTTCATATGCTGTCATACTTTTAGTCAATCTGCACTACCAACAATTCATCAGTTACCATAGATTATTTCAGATACATTTGGTAACCCATGTATATAGTATAGAAGCATTCTCCAGTTATTGTTTAACTATGTGCCACATGCAGTATTCTTTGACAAATTTCAGTGAAAAAATCCTGGGATTAAATTCATTTATATGAAATGTCACATACGATTATTGCTAAAAAGACAAACCGGAGGAGTAATTAACACAGTTGAGAGTTCATATCACTAGAAGTATGAAAGCAGAAAGCAAAATTAATTATTTTCATCTCCCTCATATGGTTACTTATCAAACCAAGCCTCATGGGGACACATGATGTATTTCAACTAGACAACAAAAAGCAGCACATAATTACACAACTCCTTGGAGTAACTGGTTTGTATCCTTGAAAATTCTCTAGAAAGTATTCTAACTGTGTGAATCACCTCAACTATTACACTGCTGTCAGTTCAGAGAAATGATGCATGCAAATACATGCTTATATAAACAAACAGCGTGTTTATAATGCAACGGTTTAATATAATTCATCATCAGGTAATTAGAATGTGCAGTTATGTAAGTTTCACCCTTCTTCTGCTACTGAAAGAACTGTTAAGTACTAGGGGAAGATTTATCTTTATTTGTGACGTTCGAGCTAACGGTTTCAGAATATAAAAAGCAAAATAAACACCTAAAAATGTGAGATTTTCGTAGACAAGCAACTTCTGCTGTATAAAACACTTTCTGCACAGCAAGACAGTATTTTCCTAGTTGCTTAAAAAAAAAAATAAACTAAGGCTTGAGAGTGTAAAGCAGAAAACTACTGGATCACTAAAGGCAAGACAAACATTTTTAGTGACGAGATAAAGCTGCTACTGAACTCAGAAATTTAGGTTTTTCATTATTTGTGCAGAGAATTTTTTATCAAAATATTGCTTTATACTTATTGCCTAAAAATAGCAGATTAAAACAAAATCGTATCTATTTTCATAATATCTAAGTCCATGCAACTGCATAAAGAACAACACAAAGACTGCAGATCTAAGTCACTAGGATATTTTCTACATTGAGGTAGGGCTTGTGGTCATACTACTTATACTGGATGTTGAAACACATACTAAGAATACAAACTATATTGGAATGTGTCTATTGGAATGTGCAGAGAATTTAGCAGCAGTTCAGTCAAATAATTAAACCCCTGCATTAATACAGCATTGCCAAAAGAAGGTAGTAATATTTCTATCCAATGCACTTACTGTGCATAATCACTTCTAACTAAAACTGTTCACAGTGTGTTTTTTATGAATAAATTAAAGAGCCTTCAGTGCCTGGAATTTCCAGTTTTGAACTTCCTGTCAACATGAAAGTCATGTACTATCAAGCAATATTGGAAGAAAGGGCACTGCCTTCCAAACGGACAACCAACCTCATATTTAAGAAATCTAAGACTTGATACAGGTACATGTGTATTCCTCTCAATAACTGTAGTGAATAAAGCACAATGAAATTATAACAATGTACTTCAGCAGTACCCTCTCTAATTCTTTTTCATCTCATGAAGATTCTCTGGAACACCACATACAACATTCTTTCTCTTTTTTAAAATTTTTTGTTTCCAGAGGAAAACAACTGTCTGAAAACTGTCCAGTCATTAACTATGAAAATTTTAATCATTATCTACTTTTATTATCTCAACAAAACATGTTGACAATAATCAGCCAAATACCAAATTGATATTTTTTGTGTGTTTGAAAGTGATGAAGGAAAACTAACTCTGTTAAGCTACAGAATATAAACTTGATGCAATATATATAGCTCCTTATTTATATTTATATAAATATCATCTATTTATTTATATAAGTATATAAATATATTTATATAAATATTGGAAATGCTTAATAAACTCTCATTTCTGTCAAGAGCTCAACTCAAGACTGTATCTTGGTAAAGTAATTCATTTTTATGTGATAAAAAAATTCTAAACACTCATTTCAGCAAAGTTTCCTTTCTGTACATTTTAAAGCTGTACCTCAAGATACTTTTTCAAATGCATCATATTCTGAAAGATGTCAGACAGAATCATGATGTGACTCATGTTAGATCCCTGCACCAATTTCCAAAGCAACACTTAAAGGTTAGTAGAAGAAGCAGTTCTCTTTTCCAAAATAATTTCAGTTTTGTTGAGTAGCTGCATACAGGAAAAAAAGCCACCACTTTGGATACCTGACATGTCTCTGAACTGAAGCGCTTGACTTACCTGCCACTGTTTCATGAGCTCCCGAACCATTTTGGCATCCTCTAGTATCTTTTCTTTGTGTGTAGCATCCTGCAGGACATTTGCAGTTGTTTCAGCTTCTGTAAGCCAAGCAAGGAACTTTTCAAGATCCAGGTAGAATTGCTGCAACATTTTTAGGGCCGATTCCAGTGCAGCTTCACGCTCAGAAACCCTGCGCAAGTACAAATAGTCAAATGCAGCACTTTCAGGAAGAAATAAAATCGTAATAATTACATCTTCACAAAGATACACTATAGATTTTTCATGTACCAATCAAGGTAAGATGGCAGATACATTAGCTACAGAACTTGCTCTGTGTGTTTGCCAGGTAGGGTTCCCTTTTTATCTTCTTCTCCCGAGAAGTAGTAACTGGAATTCATCTGGTAAAAAATTAAGAAAAAATACTTCTTTGAAAGTATTATGCTGGAAACATGCACAATTGAAAAAAAAAATTTAAAAAATCAGAAGTAATCTCCTGATTCTTTTTAATCAAAGATTCTTTTCTTATTTGTCATTAATACTACAGTGGGAAAATTTGTTTATTTTTAGAAATCACAAAATAGTTCCAGCATAATAGCTAAATAATGTTTTTAAGCTCATAAAATATATAGTAAAGTAATTTGATAATTTATGTTACTTCAAGTGGAATGAATGCAGTTTAATGCACATCTATGTTTAGTCTACAAGTCTGTGGTGATCTGGATATCTCTAAATACATTTCCTGTCCAGTTTATAGGGGTTTTTTTTATAGTTATTTAGACAGAGACTAAGATACTAGATTTCAGAAGATATAATTTCCCAAGTTGTAATTTATCATAACTTTAACAGAGGAGGCTATGAAATTTCTAAGTGCTAATCTCTACTTCAAATCCTGTTTGCTGTCATGAAGAGGTTGTACTCCTCCATAAGTAACGATATAATTCTAAAACATAGTACAGTAGATGAAGTGAGAAAAGAAACAAAAAATTAACACAAGTTTTACTAAGTGGCACTGACTTAAGTTTTTCAACAAGCATATACATAAATTGCAGCAGAGGACAGTAAGAACAGAAAAATTTAGTCTGTACAGGCAAGGACAACTATTTCAGAAAAAAAAATAATAATCTTCCTTAAATGTCAAAGCTCACAACAGCTACCATATTTCTATCATATTTTTAATCCTTTAATGTCTTATTTGCTTTTCCCAATTATTTTGTGAAAAAAGGAATTTATTCTTGAATCTTTTTCTGATTCAAAAACTGAGAAAGCTATTGAATGCTTCACTACAAAGTAATCCACCAATTTTTTTAAAACTTAAAAATGCACTGGATTTTTATCTCATAGGCACCTGTTGCCATCTACAAGACTTTTCCACATCATGGCGCTGCTTAGTCTATATTAGAATGAGTCGCCAGGGACCTCTTAGGAGGAGAGTGAGACATACTTGGCTTCAGAACAGTGAACACGATCTCCATTCCAACTTTACTCTACACAGACATGAACATGGCTTGTAGTTAGGCCACTTTTCAGATTTAAAACATCTGCAATTAAAATATTTGCTGCTCTTTGGTTAAACTAAAAAATAATTACATAGATATCACATCTAAATATACTAACAATGCACTTTAAATCAGTATAAACTTAGAAAAAAGACAATAAGAAACAAAATCTTTTGCCTGGAGAATACTGTATTGACTTACTTATCACTTTTAGCTCAAAAATAGTATCACATTCATTTGATAGAACTTAGAATTAGAATAAAGCTACATAACTAAAAATATTTTATCCAGTTCTTCAGAACACGATTCTATTGTCAGATATACTTTATAGCATGAATCTAATTCAATTTTCAGTGTGCAACATGATAGCTAATATCAGTGCCTTTGCGGAATCAGGTATAACTTTCTTCACATGCAGTTCGTCAAAACATTAAAGGCACATTTTTAACTACAATCCATCTGAATTCCTATAAATACATAGCAATGTTCCAATTACAACATATTGCAAATACACGAGATTAAAAAGAAGAAAAAACAAAGTCTTAAATCTATTTGTGTATATTTAACTTTTTGTACGGTGTCCTGAGAAGCAGGAGTCAAAGCTACATTCATCCACTTGTGTAAATACCTAGTACGTTTTTAATCTATAAAAAATAACAGATCTGAATAAAAAACACAGATCTGAAAAATATATTCAAAGGGAGAGCTATTAGAAGTATTACTCAAAATCAGAATATATGTTTTAGAGAAACTTTAAGATTACACAAAAAAAATAGAAGTATTTTATTGATCTGGGTAAAGAATGACGTTTTAGTTACGAAGAATCTTCTGGCACTTCTATCCTACGATGCACGGAAATCTTACAGCACATAATTCTTTCGGCCTACAGAAATGTGTTACTTACCTACAAGCATACTAATACACTCATCAGAAAATATCTAGTACTTTGCATTTTACATTTGGATACATCTAACATGTAATAAACATTCAACTACATTGACAGCTCTGCAGCGTATCAATAAGCTTCACTATTTTGCTTTCTAATTACTTCAAAATTATAAGGTTAGAATATAGAAAAGAATGTCTAAAAATGAAGAATAAAAGTGAATATCAAATCTAGCGTGTGATAAGATAAATGGCATGAAATTGTAGGAGAGAAAAAAACACATGTATTGAACAAGAAATTATTGCACAAAACCAAAATAAAGATGCTTTCTTTTTAGTCTATATCATCCAAATATGTTTAATTCCACAGTGAGTGCAAGCTGCAAGAAGAAACATGAAGTAAGCAGAAATATACTTTATTGTAAATGGAAAACTGTACAGTAGGAACACTACAAAATATTGCTGAATTTCTAAAAGATGATCATAACAAAAAATATTTTTAATGGAATTATCCCGTTTTGCTCTGTTCTGTAGGGATATTAAAAATATAACCAAAAGTTTCTCATTCATGGGAGAAATACTAAAGATGGGATGCATCTTATTTTCACCTAGACACTTAGAATTTAGGCAACTACACTCCCTCTGCAAAAGATGGAGATATGTATTTCTGAAATTTAATTCCTCCTCCCTTGCCTGTACACATCTGTTGAACCAGATGCAAAGTCAAAGTCAATTTTTTTTCTCTTGTCTATAATGGTAAGTTATCTAAAGCTTTTAAGTTAGCTAAAACTTTCTTCCAGAGTCTAAGGCCTATATTCTATAGTGCCAGTTAAAATTATTAATATATGCTACTAAATGATCAATCTGCAGACTAACTATGGAATGGCTGATACACATTAAGTGTGGAAAATTATGTTGAGACAGCATTTTAAGTAATGTAATGCTTTCATGTGGTTTTCTGGATCTCAACCACCTCGACACCTCACTCAGGGACACAGTATTTTTCCAGTAAAATTTTTGCTTAAAGAGTCCTTTTAGTTCAATCATCCTGATAGAGGTTACTAGCTTTTCCTTCCTGTAGAGCATTGGCATATGTATATGGATCTGAATTATCTGAGTGATCTTTATAGAATCATAGAATGGTTAGGGTTGGAAGGGACCTTAAAGATCATCTAGTTCCAACCCCCCTGCCATGGGCAGAGAAATCCGCCACTACACCAGGTTGCCCAAAGCCTCATCTAACCTGGCCTTGAACACTTCCAGGGATGGGGCATCCACAACTTCTCTGGGCAACCTGTCATGCTTATGTCCTACTATCAGTATTTTGTCTGGCTTATTGGAAAGCAATCTTTACCCAACTACTCTTAAAGTAATGGAGATTGCTCACCTGTGTGCAACTCTCCCTCTGAAATTATTTCTATGTTGCAAATGATCCGAAAGCCTCAAAGCACAACTAAAAGTAGAGCTACAATATCAGCATCTGAACCACTCCAGAGATCAGCATTCAGATGTAGCTGACATTCATCCTCAGGCCCTTATCCACCCATTATTCTGAGTGAGGAACCAGGAAAGCTTTGCTGTGCTGGTACAGAATTTTGTACTTGAAAGGCAGGCTTTCAGGTTTTTTCACTCATTTTGTGCTTTAATCCTGTCTTGTAAGGCAACAATAACTTTCTAAGATTCCTTGCCTGATCTTTATCACTGTGAATATCTTCCTGAAGACAGCTGATGTGGAGAAGTGAAAAAAAAGAAAGATTTCATTTCAGAAGAGGAAAGGTCTTTGAAAAACAAGTGGAGCCCAATGGGAATGCACAGGTAGTGTCCTGCTGATTCAGGCATATGAACAAGATTCCTAACAGTGACGTATTTCTTTCTGTATTTCTACGTGCAATACTTCTTTCTGTCTTACATTTATTTCTCAACGTGATCTACTGGCTAAGGTAGTGTCCTGCTGATTCAGGCATATGAACTGGCTGAAAGCTGACTCTCAGTGTCTTCAGATAAGCTGAAGGGCATCTCTGCCTTGCCTACACTATCCATATTGATTACGTATGAATAACCAGTGAAATGATTTTAAATTCCAGGTGTAATTGTGCATACAGAGAGAATAAGTACAACAGCTGCTGCAAAATAAACACACAAAGGCAGTTCTCTGTTGATTCTCTTTACTTCTGCAAGAAAGAAGAATAAAAGCCCTTAATACCTTTGTCCTCTGATTTGAACTCAGACTATCTGTCTCGATACGGACACAGTATCGTTCTTCCCATGATAATCATGCACAGTTTCCTAAATGATGACAGTCTCTTCAGATACTATAACTAATACATCCTAAATAATCTCCTGATCACACTAATAAGCCCAAATAATTTCTCCTTTCTTAAAAATCTGTTGACACAAATTTTTTTTGAAAGAGCAGTTATTCACTCTGCTAAGCAAGATGCAATTGTTTTTCCTGACAGGTTTTTCTATTGTAAAACTCTGCAAAATCAAAAAATATGTTATATTGCAAGATGTTTCTGGTGTTTATGTATTTAGGAAAATGGATGCAGCAAGAGAGAAAATATTTATTTTGCTATTGTTCATTGGCTGGCTGTATGCAAATAACAGAAATCGTCAACCTCCCCAGCATTTTCCTTTGAACTGCTCTCTTAATTACTAAAGACACTAAAGAAATTTAAAAACTTTTTTTTTTTTAATTTAAACTGTGTGTTCCTTACTGTTCTTTATTAAAGCACCATCAAAATTAAGTGATAAATAAGAAAAAAAAGAAAAAATTATGTTTATCTATGAAGTTTCAGACCAACCTTGG